TCGCTTGATTAATGGAAAGACTTTGCATCTGTAATTGTAGGATGGACGTTGATCGCGATTTTGTAGGATCATTGTCTGATTCCATACGATAGATAGCTCTCTTGTAAAAAAAAAAAAAAAAAAAATGCGCCATGAGACAGTAAGTATCTTTCTTTTTTTTTCTTCTCTTTCGACCCAATTCTCAATTTTATCAGTGAAGTTCTTTGAGGAGATTTTTGATGCTGATAGAATTTTGCAAGTGTGGATGGGCTGAGCCTATTTCTTCGGACAGGACATTGTACATTTTCGTGGGAGAGCGTTTTTCTCTTTTTCTTCTCTCGTCAAATAGGGTGGTAAATTCGACCCAGAGAGTTTCGATTTCAACGAGATATTCGGATCTGTAGCTAGTTGCGGATGCTTGCCCTAATTATAGAATACAGGTAATGAGTTTCGCTCCAAATAATATATGAGGAGTTACGCTAAATTTGTAGACCCGAAGGGTCATTGCTTCGCAATAATTGTTCACAAACCTCCACTTCGGGCTTCACTTTTCCATTCCGCCTCGGTGCGCATTTTATTTATTTCGTTTTGCAGAGATAAAATATCTTGTTTGAGTTTTTGTATAGTTGGATCAACTGGAGGTGTAATTGAGGTTGGAGGTGAAGATGTTTTTCGGACCGAAAATAATAAAATTGCGAGGACGACGTAATTAAACACATTTTCCCCGACAATCGCGTAAAGCAACTCCATTGTTAAAAACCCACGGGCATTTAATTCGCCGACCACGATTACATTGACGAAAATTGAAATTAAAAAAATATCGGATGTGTAATATGGCATTTTGTAATTGATAGCGGAGCTAGTGTCTCTGACACATAAATTGGTTAATTGATAGATTGTCGCGCGATTATGTAGCCAAGCTAATAACTGTTTTAATAAGTAGGGAGATTTATTTCTTACCCGCACCTCCATCTATTTCCTCCTGTTTTTATAATCAAGCGTTAACTTCTGCGGGCATGGTATTGGTTCTTTAAATCTCGTACTAAATCGAGCAGTAATGTACTGGGGATAATACGATCTACGGATTCGTGCATCATAAATCCATGGCATTGGTTCCTTAGATTTCGTTCTAAGTAATTAATACGTAGTTTCATTATAGATTCGAACGCAAAACAACATTCATGTTGGGCAAAATATTACGGTTAATGAACCAACTATCAGCTAATGAATTGGGAATCGAAATTTAGCTAGCCCGTGATCAGCAATTCTTTAACATGATTCGCTTACAAAATTTGTGATTCGGTTGCACAATGCGTGTATCACATTACTTTTCGGCAGAAACTTTTCCGGCTCATATCGATATGATTGTGATACACCCGAAATAGATTCACACCCGAAATAGATTCACACCCGAAATAGATTCACACCCGAAATAGATTCACACCCAAAATAGGTTATGCAACGATTAACCCAAATGTAGATTTATCCACACACCCGAAATAGATTTTATGTGTCAAAAATAGATCGTAATTACATGGGCGATTTATATATAAATATCGCTACAATAAATCTTTAAAATCGACTCTAAACTATTGCAATATAATGATGATGCAAAGCATCGAGGAAACTGAGCTTCGAATCTTTGACTCATCCCCGATTCCCTTCGGATCTACAATTATCGATATAACCCAACATGCATCTCTTCCATTCTCATCGTATATATCACTCGCAAAATATGACAATTATAACACTCTCGCAGATACGGTCCAAGAACCAACTGCACTAAAATTGAATTATATTATTCTAGAGTTTATAGTTATTAGTGGAACTAGCAAGGCTAAATCTAATAGGTAAGTCAAAAAAGCTAAAGCCGCTAAATATAATATTCTCTATAAGCGATAAATATGTCAGGTTTTAATATTCCTATTATTATTGATAAAAAAAATAAATTACAGAAACCCATTAATAATAGACCGGGGTATGATATGAAAATATAGAGACATATATCTACAGATATTGTGGAATTAATAATTATTAACAATTCTTCGATAAACTCTTTGAAATTGAAAGACAATATGATACTTTATCTGTTATTCGACCCAATGAAACTCCAC